ACAGTAAAATAAATCATATTAATGATTTTCCTGCATATACATATGAAAACACCTAAGTTAACCCCACCATCGTGCCCACCCACAAGAATGGGGTCCTAATTACAATAAGATATATTCCTTGCTTGTATAATTTTACCAAAATAGATTTTGCTTTTATGTATAATATATAACTAAGAAGAAGCAATAAAAAGTAAAAAAAATAAATAATGAGTTAGTTGCATGTTACATATTATGCTATGGTTTGGATGTGAGGTGTCCCCCAAGAGCTCACGTTGAGACAATGTAAGAAGGTTCAGAGGAAAGATCACTGGGTTATTAAGAGTCTTGACCCAATCAGTGAATTAATCCCCTGATAGAGATTGACTGAGTGGTAACTGAAGTGGTAGGGTATGGCTGAAGGTAGAATTGGGGTATGGCTTTGGGTATACATTTGTATCTGGCACGTGGAGTCTCTCTCTGCCTCCTGGTCACCGTGCTGTGAGCTGCTTCCCTCCGCCACCCTCTCCTCCCATAATTTTCACCCCCACCTTGAGCCCCAAGGAATGGGGCTGGCCTTCTATGGACTAAGACCTCTGAAACTGTGAGCCCTTACATAAACTTTTCCTCCCCTAAAATTGTTCTGCTCAGGTCCTACAGTCACAGCAATGAAAAAGCTGAATTAAACCCATGGTCCCCCTTAAGTAATGTGGGTACCCATTTGCAGAGGAGACCGAGCCATCTGTAACAATCATGGCAAACCATGAATCACTTTGCCATTGAGGGTATTATTTACAGGCAGAATGGAAAAAAAATATATAGGAAGCAAATCTAAGTATATCACAAATTGAAAATATAAGTAGATAGAATAAATGCTCCAAGTGAAGGAGAATCTACAAAGTGTAGTATGGCAATTCTAAACCACAAGCATACGAAATTATTAAATCGCAAGAGATGGAAAAGCTATTCTGAATAAATGTTTTCCAAATGAAAGCAGATATTCATCATATCAGTCCAAATAAATTTATTTATTTTAGAAAGATCTTTTCTGGAAGTTAATTCACTAGGATATATGATACTGAAATGTATGCATCAAAAGGAGATCTGAAAGGAGAAATAGGCAAATCTGTCATAGTAGTGAGAGATATTAAATATATCTCTTTCATTATTTTGTAACGCAACCAGAGAAAAACATTAGTAATCCCATAAAAATTTAAACAACCCAGTTATAAGCTCGAGCTAATTAACATGTATAGAATATTGTATCTAAAACTGTGAAATGCATTTTTTTTCCATGGGTAAGGGAAGAAAAATCACATTTGATAACACTGAACTATGAAAGAAATGCAATCAAAATATAATTAAGTTAGAATCACTATAAATGGAATCTAAAGACAACTTACATATTTGAAAACTCATTAACATTTTTCTAACTAATCATGGGTTCAATAAGTGTTCTACAAGTCAGATTTTTTTTTTTCCGGCTGTGATCAAAAGACCTGAGAAGAACAACTCAGAGAAGGAAAAGTGTGCTTGGGTCTCATAGTTTCAGAGGTGGATGGCTGAATCCATCACTCTGGCCCAGAGGTGAGGCAGAACATCATGGTGGAAGATATAAGTAGATAGAATAAATGCTCCAACTTAAGGACAATCAATAAAGTGTAGTATAGCCATTCTAAACCACAAGCATACAAAATTATTAAATTGAAAGAGGAGTCTCTCTCCTGGCAGAGAGAGCTGCACTCACCAGAGACAAAATATAAACCCCACAGGCCTGCCCTCAATGACCCACCTCCTCCATCCACACCCTACCAGACCACAGTCACCACCTAGTTAATCCACCCACCTAGTTAATCCACGTCAGTGGACTAATGCATTGATTAGGCTCAGCCTCTCATAAACCAATCGTCTCACCTCTAAACTTCCTTGCACTGTCTCATGTATCAGCTTTTGGGCAACACCTCATATCTAAAACCATAGCAATACAGGGAAAGAGAAGATACTGTCAAGTGAGGATAATGAAAATTCTAGGTAACGAAACATGCTCAATGCAGTTAATAGCATTATTTACAGGAATATTTATCATCTTTAAAACGTAGGAAAAGGAGAGGGGATAAAATCCAATGATGTAAGCTTCTTCGGTAACATAATTTTGGAGTGAAATTGACTGAGCTGACATAAGACAATAGATTAAAGTGAAGGGAGACATACTGTGGAACCAGAAAATAAATTCAACTGAGCGATGTATATAACCATTATAGTGAAAAAGATACATCTTCATTTACTTTGGTGCCTGGAAGGATTTTAGTTGTATTTCTTTCCTTCTTCACATTCTTTACCTTTATTTTATGGATCACCTTTTTATGTACTCAAAATTACTAAGTACATAGCATAGTGATCCATCTGAAATAGATGTTCTGGATTATTGAGGTATTATAACCATAGTAATTGACACAGCATGTACATGGGCTTTGGAAATTGGCTTTAGAAGTTTAAATTTGCAATGACGTTTAATAGGAAATGCCCATGAACTCTGGATCAGGAAGTATTGCCTTGAAATTTGTGGCTGAGAATCCTGAGACTCTATTATATAGAGAGTCAGCTATACCTGTACCAGACTTGTATAGACTTTTTCCCTGTTACTATTCCCTGAACATACAGCATAACAACTATTTCTATAACATTTACATTATGTTAGATATTATATATAATCTAGATATGATTTAAAGTATGTGGGGTGATGCATGCAGATTATGTGCAAATTTTATGTCATTACGTATAAGGGATTTGAGCATCGAAGATTTTGCTATCCAAAGTAAATCCCACATTTATGCCTGAGGGAAACTCTGTATATGTAGCTACCTGAAATAAATTAAGATTAGA